CAGCTGCAGTGTGCTGCAATATAATTAATTTAAATATATACAACGTCGTCTGTCGATTCAGAACGATCTAAACTACTTTTACTACTATACTTCAACAACTGTTTTTTTTATACTATCCTATGATAACTGATAATATATTATATGTATCACAGGTGCTTTGTATCGTAGGTACATAAGGTCTTTATTGTCCGGGGAATATAGTACGTATTTAAATTCGATACTCATGTCAAAGTTCTATGGAGTCAATAGTATAATGTTGTTGATTCTAGATTTATTCGAATAAAATGGCTATCCGATAAACGCACAACTCTGATTTGGGAACAAATATGAATCCAGAGAACCTGCCATAAAATATTATAATAGCCAATATCGAAAATAGAGTCTGCAACAAATACGAAGTATGGGATTTATTTTTATTTTATAGTTAGGTGATCAAGTCGATATTTTATGACACAATATCGTGTAACTTACGAATATCTTATTACGATATTTTTAATTGTTTTAATGAGGAACCACTTCTGTTATATTATTTATATAGGCAATCATACAATTCGAACATGGTATAGGCTATACCGCCGCATAAAATCGTTTTATATAATATAACATTCTAGTGCAACGTAGGAGAAACTGTCAAAATACAGACTTAAAACATCGCTAATGTTACTGTGTATACTGACTGTCACAATAGTGCACTGTGGTCAGTGAACAATGCAGAATTTAATAATAGTACCTAATAATATTATTATAGTCGGTAACTTTATTATATTATAATATACCTATATATTAGTATTATTGTATAATAATTTACTCTGCAGCGATTGTCTGAAATGTCATACATAATTCTAATTTAGCAATGTATATTATTATAATATATTAATGAGTGCATATAATATCCATAAACAGCTTTCGACCCAAACGCGATTTCTTCGAATGCGTAAGTTCCAAATTATAATATAGAGCATTTTCAACGTTTAACGATTCGGGTCGAAACCTAAAATTTGCCTTTACACAATTACGCGCGACATAGTACATATTCAATACAATTATTTCGGCTCGTCGAGTCCGCCAATTTGTAAGTAGGAAGGTATTTATATTGAATTATCAAAGCCGAGTAGTACTACACGAGTACTACACCTATATAGGTACATTGTGGACGTGAGATAAATTCAGGCGTGGCCAACTTAGCCCTTAGGTCCAGGACGTATAAGTATACCTTTAAATATAGCGTAGGTAAAAGTGAAGTTTTTGTAGAACAAAATGGTTAAGAGGAGACCGACGTTTTCAAAGTGTGTGTAAGTACTTTATCGCGACGACGCGAGCCACGACTTACATGTAGCGAAGGAAAAGCAGTGGCGTATTTGAGGGAGATGACTTAAGAGTAGACTTAAAATCGGGCCTTAACTCTTTTTGGCTAAGTATTTATGTTATGAAAACTGTCAAATTCAAATTCAATAAAAAGGAAAATTAGTGTGATAAAGAAAATATAAGAAGTTTATTAATGCGAGACGTCCCATGGCACGACAACTTTGAAGTGCACATAAACTATTTGAATAAGGGATAAATATGGCTTAATGCATATAGTATAATATCATCGTGGTTTATAACAATAGTAATTCAAATATTAAAATATAAACATAAACTAACACTTGTACACTACCTATACATAATACATATTGACGATCTCTATTCTCCACACAAACAAAACGTTTTAGTAGTACAAACACTATTTACTTATTATAGCGTAGTGTGAATTATAACAACAAAGTACTTATAGAAAAATGTACTCAAGTTAAGAAACAGAAATACAGCAATAAACATTTTTGTTTTTTTTTTACTTTAGGTAAGATAAAGTATTAGTTTTTCATTATTATTATTTTCATTCAATATCTATATATATAGCACAAATAGAACCAACAATATTTTGTAAATCATATGAAATATGATAAGAATTATCAGTCTGTTAAACGCTAATATGTATACTTTGTGAACATTTCAAGTCACAACATTTATTTACATTTTGTACGCAGTAAATCACTTTTAAATTCCAAAAAAAACATCCATGTTTTAAAAAATGGATTTCCATTAAAATTCCTGTTTTTCCCTAATGTTTGTATTTATTTTTTTCTGAATTATTTTGAAAAGTACTGAGATTTATTTAATTCTGAACCCCCAAAAATATCAACTAAATCAAATTTGCTACCAGAACTTACTGTCTAAGTTGAAGATCGAAGGATTTAAACTTGGGAAAGTTTGAAAATATGAATTGCATAATACTAAATTATATTAATATTCAATATGCAATTCATTAAGATTTATGAGGGATAGTGCAGATTGAATAATATACGATAATGATAAAACAGTGATTGGTTGAATTCTATTTTTTTTAAATCGGACCGAACTTGAACTGAACTATAATTTTTTTTTTCGAACTCGAATCGAACCGAACCGAACCTAGAATCATTAGTCGAACTCGAACTCAGCATTTTTTATCATGTGCAAATTAAATCAACCATAAATCATAATTAAAATTATAGTATTATAATACTATCATAGTTACTAATTCGTAGTACTTATCATGACAATAATTAGATAGGCATCGGAATATTACCATGGGTTAATAATCACTAAGGATTCTTAGAAATTCCTAATCGACTGTTTATAATACACTTTATATTAATTATATTATAGTCCATAATATAAAGATTATCACATTGTGTTACTAAAAATCTTCCCACATTCACTAACATATTGTACTGCATTGTGGTGCCATATACTTTGATTTACACAATGGGATGTAACTGCTAAAAGAATGAGATTCATCCTAACTTGCAGGTGACTAGATTAAATTTTAAAAATATACCTGTGTGTGGGATTCTATACCGACCGTCTTTAAGGAGTTAAATATAGGCCTAACCCAAGTGAGTGCGTGTTTTGATTAAATGTGTGCGTATTAAGTGATCATTAGTGGTTATGGTGTGTATGTGACTGTAATACTCATGTCATACCAGGGTCTGGAACCGAACCTAAAAGAAATGGTTCTGGAACCAGAACCTTTAAAATATTAAGAACCAAAACCCGAACCGAAACCTTTATTTTAATAAATAAAATACCGTAATCAACTTGGAATTTTTAAATTAAAAAGGTACTTTTAGGTTCAAAAATAAAATAATTTTACTTACCGTAATTTAAAGATATTACTGTTTTGTGTATAATCTATATTATATGATCATATTATGAGTTTTCTAATATTTCTCATACTAATTGAACCAGAATTACGGATAGGTATTTAAAATTATTATACTTTTCGGTACTGAAATTATCCGGAATCAGAACCGAAATTATTTGGAAACGATACCTTTATTTTTTTTTTATCAAAGGACCAGAATTGAACCGGAACCGTTATTTTACTTTTGGAGAACCGGTACCGGAACGGATACCGATAAGTTCAAATTTCAAAAAGTTCCAGTCCCTGGTGCATACACATGTCAATGACACAGTAAACAAACGATTTTTTTTTTTTTTTTTGTGTAAGGTATCAATCTTTTTACTAATTTTAATAACTTTTAAGAATTATTCAAAAAATCATAAAAGTAATTTTCAAGTAAACTTTATGGAGGTATAAGAATTTTAATGAAATTACACTTGGATAGTCTTTACGATTGGCATACGACACAATATGTCTATTTTGATTTGCAACACGACTTTAGGACCGTATGCCCTTAAATAAAGATGTAGTTGTACCATACAGGACAATTAATAATTATTGGTAAATACTTGTTTATGGTAATCGTCGAGCGTTGTATAAAAACAAAATATTTTTGTTTTATCTATTATTTACATCTCTATCGGGTGACGTACGATAATGTTAAGGGACAAGCGATTATGATATTTTCGGTTCGTCGGTTCTGAATTATTCCGGCATTCATCGAATCTTCAAAGTCTCACATTTGTGGATGGCATGTCGGAGGAGTAGGGCGTAGTGGCGTCTGCTCCGGGCGACTCGGATCCGGGACATAGGTAAACAATTACTTGTACTAATAATTATGCTCGTGCCGGTTATTGTGCAACAATTGGCGTGTTTATAGAGACGACCGTGGTTTGTTTTCAAAGGGCTGGTAAAGGGTGCATCGCAACGGTATAATGTATAATAAGACAGCGGCGGCGGCGGAGTACACACAATACGCTCTAAACGCACGTCACGAGTGGAAAGTTTCTGGGTACTTTGATACTACGGCTCATAGGCACTACACCGGTAAACCAATAATGCCCATATTATGCACTGTAATAATCTGTGTTCAGGGAAAAAAACTATACCGTAATAATAACAACAATATGACCAATATATTAAGCCAAATACTATATAGATGCCCGTGACACGTTCAGTTTAGTACGCGTCTTTGCAAGATACGAACTGTATTAGTATAAACGTGAACCGCTGGTCGCAACGATGTATACCTCTACCGGGAAATCATAGGGATAGGACCTATAGTGGTTCGTGGGTGGTTGGTGTGGTGCATATAATTACTATAATTTATAATATAATATACTTTTCGTGTAACGTATACGATTGTATCGTTCAATATAGCCGGCTAAACGCATAATAACAATATGTGAATTAATATCTATTTGAAATATAATTATAATGTGATACGTCCTACTTACCTAAGCACGTTGGGTATTTCGTATTCAATCAAATGTGTTCTGAATTGTATAATATTAGTACCTGCTATAATGATTGAAAAACGGTGACGTCACGTTATTGGACGATACCTACGAAATAAGTTAATAAAAATTCATAAATTACTATACGATACTATATAGATACCTACGTCAGAATAAACTTTATTCGCGTACAAACGAGTATAAAAATCGTATAATATACTCGCGTATGCTGTGATGAAATTCTTTAAAATTCTACACAATTAGAGGAATAAAAATGAATAAACGAATTCAACGAAAACTAATATCTCGTTATTGTTGTTGTCTGGTTTTTTTTTCAGGGAGACGTTTAAAGTTGAAGTGAACACTGATGCGACAAATTTAGCATATAGATCAACATACTTGCAACTACACACGGACTTGCCATATTACGAATACACACCCGGGGTAATTTTTGTTTGATTATTCATGTGATATTTTTATTAAAATCGTACAAGACACGCAACTGTATAATATAGCGTGAATCCACAAGATTTCTTAAAGGCGGTAGATATTATTATTATTATTCTTTAGTTAACAACCCTTAGGTTGGTTTTACAGCATTTTTTCTTTCTCCTTCCACTCTTCTCTGTAATTGGCCACTCTTATCAGTTCTCTGCAGGATCTCAGTCTGGCCTCCTTAATAGCTTTATTGATAATTGTTGTTTTACATCTAGGATGACCTCTCCTTCTCTTGCCTTCCATTTGTCCTTCCAATATTCTTTGGTACAGTTCTTCCTTATGTCTTAGAGTATGTCCGATTAGTCTTCATCATCTTTCTTTGATTTGTGTTAATAATCCTCTAGGTTCACCTATATCATTAAGTTCACAATCATTGGTTCAAAACTCCGTCTAGCTAACTCTTAGCAACTTCCTCCAGGAGGCCACATTTCAAAGCTTTCTAAGTGTCTTTCTTCTATTTTATTTATCACCCCAAGAATCTGGCCCGTATAAGGACACTCCATACAAACACTTTGACTAATTGTTTTCTTATATGAATACTTATATTCTGTTCATAAACTTGATTTCGCCCTCGCTACCCTAACTTTGATTTCCTTTATATTATTGAGATCCTGAGTTATTAAATTGCCTAGGTATTTATGACACTGTATACTTATTCAAACTGATTATTCCCCACTTGAATTAGAATCTGTCTTTGTATCATGTCTTTATATCACAGTATCAGTTGATAAAAAAAATATCTCTTTACAATTCAGTCTAGGCGTTTTTGGTTTAATTTGATTTGACACACCTTTTTTTTGGTAAAAAAATAATTTACTGGTAAAAAAAAATATTGGTAAAGGTTACGGTAATTTTTTTACCGGTAAAAATTGATCTGGTAAATTTACAGCACTCACATCTCTAATATTATTATTATGAATCATTTGTATTGTATAATTTAATAATAAATAAATAAATATACCTACACAAAGTCCAAAAGAAATGTTCTGTAAAATCATGTGAAAATGAGTTTTCTAAAACTGATTGATAGTGAAATTTAAAAAATGCTTAATGTCTTATTGTATATATTTTATATTTAATGAAACTTTTTACTTCTGAAGTTTTCAATATTAAAATAAATCAACACAGTTCTAACAGTTAATAATAGGTGTTATAGATAACATAGTAAGTTTTAAAGTAATATTAAATTATCATCCAAATACTTTAAACCAATATTTTGCTTCAATCAAATCAGCATGCAACTAATAGTTTGAAATTTAATTATTAACTATAGCAATTATTATAATATGCCTTTTCGATAGTTTCTAAAAACAAAATGAGAATCAATTTGCATCGAATGAGCATTAATATTATTACTATAAAACATAATAACACGAATTAAAATTAACACATTCCTAGATCCAGTAAAAACCTAAGATTGCAAATTTATAATTGATTCTACTTATTTAAAACAGAATCATGAAGAATAATTAAGAAATACTGCAAAATATAAAAGCATGAATACAAACATTTTATACAAATGTGGTAATAAAAAAAAATAATGAAATGTATAATGAAGATATTAACAAGTAACTACATGGCTACATTACTATACAATGTGCTTATTTCGCACTACTGACTAATGAAACCAAAGAAATTACTTTTTTTTATCTTTTCAACATAGGTACTATTTTTCATTTCATTTAAATTCGTAGTAAAAATAACAATTTATTTTTGGTTTTTGTAATATTTTATAATAAGAACGAAAATCAACACAAAATTGTTTATTACATTTTACATTTTAAAAGATAAAATTATCTAATATAGTTGCATGCATTAATACATGGATAAAATGCTCTCTGAATAATATAAAAAAAAAACTGAATTCGAGTGAGTGATGAGAAATAGTGATTATTTTATCCTTGAATATTCAACTTTGTCGGAATTTAAATTTCAGAGAATCATAAAATGTATATTTTGTGGAATTACACTGACAATATTCTAGTATACAAAACTTATATAGAACCTTGTCATACACTTTCAAACCTTAGATATGAATAATAAATATTTTCAGAGGGGATTCCACTTTTTCAGGAAGATATCAATTTTTTTAAGAATTTTTTTATGGGAGGGCTATGATCAATTGTTAAATTGGGGAGGTTAGTTGCTCTAATTCATGCCGTTCCAAATATATTATATATTAGTTATTAATAAAATATGTGCTGTTCTAAGTTATGACTTTTATATTTTTGGGATAACACCGTGGTTAATAAATTTGGTTTTACAATTACCGTTCCAAATATTTCCCTTCCAAATACTGACGTTCAGTGCGTTCTGCCGTTCTACCTAATGATAGGCTTCCTTATATATTTTAAAGTTATTATTATCATAATATTATGTAAGGCCAAACCATTAAAAAAATAATTCTCAAGATTCTCATAAATTTTAATATAATTTACCTAATAAAGGTAAAATGTATATAAACTAATTGAATAATAATGTTACTCGCCGTAATTTTCAAAAAGTAAAGCCGATACAACGGAACGGTAAAACTTCAATATAACAATATTATCATCATCGCGCTACGCCACGGTTTAATGGAAATATTATGAGCTCGTAGACCATACTATTTGACATTCGGTTTGATTGAAATTAGGTGATTTTGCTGCACTGCATCGTTCAACCCGAGTCCAGTGGCGGCGAATCCGAAGTGACCGACGGGCTGTCGGTGTGCGATCGTCTGAAGGAAATGGACGTGGACTGCTATAAGACGCTTTCCACGGTGCCGGTGAGGTGGATTGACCGCGGCCACGACGCCGGCTACAACTTTCATAACGTTTACGTCTCGCCAGTAATTTGGTTAGTGCCACGTCGAAACGGTTAAAACCATTATCATTATTATTCATTATTGCCACCGCCGTCGACTTTTGTAAAATAATTTATTCTAGATTATAATATTACTATTATGTTTATGGAGTATAGGTAGGTATTAGTGTTGGTTAGAGATTGGACGACAGAATTACGGTCAGACGGTGTAAATAACTTATTATTTAATTTAATTTTTAATGAAACCGTGAATCGAAGGTACAGGGATATATTTTAGTTATTTATGCCTACCATTGAAATTTGATATTTAAATTTTTATAACGATTTTATTTATTTCATTGAAATTAAAAAATAATATAATTAGTAGGGACTTGAATCTTTTCGACACTATGACATATATTATGAATTACTGTAAGCAATGAATTCGTTTCAAAATATTTAAATTAATTTAATTAGTTATCATCGCATTGAAATAATTGTACACATCCATTACAGTGTTACCTGCTCAACGATAAGGTACAAATGGTACAATCAACACCTAAACTATATACTGAATAGACATTTCACGATTTTTATAATTAACTATAGATATAGCCAATTTGTACGCTTGTTTTTTCCCCACTAAACAGTATACGTCACTAAGCTTCAAGTTTATTTTAATTGATAAAATTACACTTTACCATATTTTTTTTTCTATTAGCAGCTACTGTTCAAAATAATAATTTAATGTGATTGTAATCAAAATAAAATATAATAATATTATACACATAAACACAGCCAGTATATTATATTGCCTACACAGTACTCCTTAGTAAATTAACGTTATTCAGCCCACTTAATAATAATAATTGAAACTAGGGTTATGACTTATGAGTATAAATTAATATTTCCCATGAAATTTTCACTTTGAAATATTTCGAACTTGAAACTTTTACTCTTCTTGAAATATTTCAACGAAATATTGAAAAATATATTTTTTTAAATATGTCTTTTGCTATGTTTCATAAAATCATCAGTAGATGATCACACTGATTTCATACCTGATTAGTGATTACTGATTATCAATATTTAGTTCTCGATCATGATGAAGAGGAAATATAAGATAGATAATTATTATGTAATTTGTACAATAAATTAATGTACTATGTAAACACTAATCGAACATTCATGTTATGTTTACTTTTATATATAGCGAAGACAGTTATGGGAATGTCAAGAGAATTAATTTTAGTGAGCATCACAGAGATTCGAAATTTCCTGTGTCAATAGATAGAGTACACATTTGGTATGATGCAATCGAAAAATTTGTAAAGATTGCGTACAACGAAAAGATCATCAGCACTTTTAAAATGAAACCGGGTATATATCTCTCATATTGTTTATCTATTTTATATTATGTTAATCAACACATTATAATATAATGACGTAATGTTAAGATACGTGTGACATACAATAGGGTAAACACATAATGTTAAAACGATTTTTTTTTTACTTTTTTTAAGTTGTACATTATTGAAAATGAGTCCCTAAACATTTTAAATGTCAACCTCCAAAACAGAATATTTTTCTCAGAATTATAAACTTAACTTTAACTAACTGTAGTCTGTAACATATGAGTATTTAAAGTTTAGAGATTTAATATTGTGTGGAGTACTCCTGTGTCTCTCCTTTCCGTTCATCTTAAATACTTAGGTACAATGTACATCTAATACCTAACTAATTAGCTTCTCATTTGAAATTTGATTTGATGTACGGAAATTTTCAAAAAATAATATTTTGCTTTCGAATATGAAATTAAATATGTAAGCCGTCACTCGATAAATTAAAATTAAAATAATATATTTTTATGCATTTTCAGAAAATAATTGTTTACCATTAAAATGCATAACCTTGCAGCATTTCTGCCTATGAGTAATAATAATATATAATATTTAAAACACTTTTTTTATTTTTATTTCAAGGGGACATTTTGACTTTTGACAACCATCGAGTACTTCACGGAAGAAAAGGATATCAAGGCTCTAGATTATTGATTGGTGGTTATTTGGACTGGGATTTGATAAAATCAAGAACTCGCGTACTCCAATCTCAACTATCTAATACAAATATTAACTAATCATACATATAACTTATGAATATATAAGTAAAATGTGTATGTAATTTAGTAATGATGAATCATTAACTAGGTATACTAAATAAGTACAGTTAAACATGATATAAATTGTATGTATAATAAATGTAACGTAATTTATTTATCGTATTTATTTTATTTCTACTAGTAGGTATTTAAATGTACTAATAAGAATTCGTTTTATTAATTTGGATTTTTATTTTTTTCTATTTTTCATGTAGTTTCTACTAAGACTATTTAAAGTTAATAATTATAATATTATGAATAATATGTATGTTAATGACTGGTTAGACGTTGAAAATAATTAAACCAGTTTTTGCATAGAACTCATTCTCCATTATTTTTAAGTAATTTTTAAACTATTAAAAATAAAAAATATATTATATGACATCAAAGAACTACACTATGAAAAATATACCTTTTGACAATTGTATATAATTATTATGTTCTACTGCACTCAGTATAATGCTATAATAAAACGAGATTTTACAAACGAATATATTACGAGAAATAATAGTAAGTACTTGCATTATAATATAATATCTAATAATTTACCATAAGTTAATTTATTTAATTTCTAAAAGCAGAACTTAACAATTGGTTTTATTAACGATGTGTTACACAATCACCAGTATATTATAATTTTTATTTTATGTTAAATCTATAAAAGTACCGTGACTACTAATTATCACAAGATGGAATGGTTTTCAATTACCAATCTTAACAATCTCCAATTTATTTGTTTTGCGAATTATTTGACTTCCCTTTTTAACAAGTACAAACAAATACTATAAAGCTTAAGGCCCGAGGATTTTAATGCCAAAATACGATAATGTGGCATACCACACACCGATGACAAAATATTGGGCACCACTATAGTCTAACCTATTTTAAGGAGTTAAATATATGTAATATTTAATTAGATTGTTTCCGCTATTTTTAGTCGATTACCTAACGCATATTGTAATATGAAAACGAGAGGATGTCAAAAAATGTCCAAGGAACCTAACCAGGTTAATAAGGAAACACGAAGCAGTGATTCGACCAGAAAATTTATCACAAAAACACAATAATATAATATGTTAGAACTAATACATATACTCCTATCTTTGTTCAGAATCTATAAATCTGATTTTTTGAAAATATGTTACTGAACTTAAAGTTAGAATGGATCGAGTGTTTTTGAGCTATGTAGCTATTATTGGTCCGACCCCTAAACGGGTGAAAAATGCATCGCTATAAAAAACGGATCTCCGTAAACAAAAGATATATTGGTAAGTATAGGTACCTAATAATTATATCTGGGCAGCCTATATAAAGTTGAAAAATTCAAATATTAATTCAGTTATCGTGAATACTCGTGTGGTTTACTCAATAACGATATCTTTCTCACTCATTCAAACATCCATAGACCATGATATTAGTTATAGCTAGATTTTATTATGAAGCTTCAAAATGTAAGGAAATCGAGTAAGTGGGTGTCGCTCTGCTGTTTAATAGCCAATAGGTGGGTCACTGTAATGGATATCGTTAAATTAGAATTCAATGATATAATATCATTGTATACGAACAACGATTCTTAGCAGAGACAATTTGTCAGCCAAGGATATTATATTTATATTATTATTATTAATACGGTAGCCGGTAATTTAAATTAATATTATTTGTATATAATAACAGTGGCGTATCCAGGTGGGGTATTGGATTTTTACCTCCCCCCCTCCACTGATATTTTTTTAAATAAAAACATTTTTATTAATAAATTATTTTTAGATAAAATTGGTCAAAAATTAATTTTAACCTACTCCCCACCCCCCCCCCCCAAAAAAAAAAAAAAAAAAAAAATTAGATCTAGATACGCCACTGTACAGTAATATCCTTTAGAATTTTCAAGCTCTCATGAATAATATTTTTAAATTTTAACTCAAAACTAAAATGGTTTTTCTATGTTTAAATACCTAATTTCGTCCAAACTTAAACTTAAAATTAATTATTAAAAAAACTATGTTTATTAATTTGTTTTAATTTTTTTGGTTACTGCAGTATGAACTACTTACGTGGACCTTATTTTAAATTTTTAACTGCAAATAATTTTTAATTTTTCAATATGATAAAATGTTGTCAAAATTTGAACTTTAAATGCTTATAAAAAAAATCTTGCGTACCTATGTATTTTTAATATTTTTAAACTGATATTGTTACAAAGTGTGAGGTACCTTGTGCTTTGTATTAAGTTTTTTTTAACCCAACGAATAAAATGTTTCTACAATTATTGATACTTGAAGAAAAAAATAATTGAAAATTGATAACGTCCTGATACAGCTTAAAAAGAGAAAAAATATTTCAAAAACTGTATGAAGTATATACAATGATAAAAAAAAGATATTTAGAAAATGTAAAGTATCTACGGTTATCCGTTTTTGAATTACAACCAAATAAGAAAATTAAGTAAATATTCAATGTTGTAAAAATTTGAACTTCAAACACTCATAAAAATGTAGTTTGGCTTTTCGGTAGTAATTTTTTTTACTTAAAAACTTATGAGCAATTTTGTATTAAATTTTCAAATATTAGAAATGAAACAAAAATTTATGAATTTTGAATTCAAAATAATTTTCAAATTTTCGTGGTTTTTACGAATTTGTCAAAATTCAACTTCATAAAAAAATTATTGTCGATCTACGCTCCACTTTTTTTTAATTTCCACGAACAGCATCTTACGAGAAACGTTTTATTATATTTTCAAGTTTTTTGACAGAGCGAAATATTTGTCGACATTAGTTTTAAAAAACCTAATAATAATCGAAAATGTCATATGCCTATAAATAGCTTAACAATCAAAATATTGTGAACATTTTATGGTGTATAATACTAATATAATTAATATTCAGTAAAAATGTCATGTATTTTAAGGAAATCCCATTTTTCCTTCATTTTTTTTCCCTGGTGCTTTTTAAAACTTCTGGGAATTTTGAATTCCCCAAGCACCAACTAGATTCTCTTTTTCACCAGAAGAGATATTGAAGTTGAAATGGAAGCATTATTTTGAATACTTATGGCGTAGGTACACTGACACAAATAAAGCAATATTGTCAAAAAAACACTCACATCTTTGTAAAATCAAAGCATCAACGCTCCGCTCGGAACTTAAAATATCTAACGCATTGTAATTATACAGAACTAAAAAAAAAGAAATATCGGAAAATAGCGATTTGTGAGGTTGAATCTCATCGTATCATGACTATTGGTTGAACAGTTGACGAAAATTTCAAACACTCACGACGAAACATAATAATATATTATACACTACCCCTTTGTGCAAACATCAGCTGTCGTCGTGACAATGTATTAAAGTATTATAATCGCTATGCCACTGCAGCAGATACTGATAAGTTACAATTCACACTACGCTAAGTTAATGATAATTTACTATATACGCACACACGTTAAATACTAAAATATCGATTGCTGGTTTAAATTTATAAACATTATTATAATAATCGAATACATATTATTATGATATAAAAAATAAAGTTTGTTGGTTCGTCCTCTATAGACTCAAAATCTACTGAAATATTTTGAATAAAATGTATGTGAAATGATTCCTTGAAAATCAATAGGACGATTTGTAGTTTCGATTTTCTACCCTCATATAGGTTATAGGTATAAGGTGGCTCACAAATACATTTTGTTTCGGTACTTGAAAATCGAAATTTTTGCTTTTTTATAAGGTTGAAATTGGTTTCAGGTGATAAAGTAGTTATATCATTATAGTTTCTACAATTTGCTTACTAGACCTATTTCACGTTTCATGTCGTCAATCGTCATTTATTTGTATTTATTTTTTTTTGTCTGTTAATCTATTTTTTTTTTCGTTTTCATGCTTCCTAAATTCGTATCATTTGTGATCTACTAGCGGAACACAAATCAACGAGCTTCTCAAACGAGGGAGGAAAGAAGCAGATCGTTTACGAGTTGATTGATCACATGAATTGTAGTCAGAAGACCAACGATCAGTGAGAATCCGAACAAATAAGAACTATTCTATCTCGAAGAATCGTGCACATTGAATTGGAACTTGGAGCATTTCAGTAAAATTTTAATTACGACTACAGTCTGCATCCAAGTGTAGACATTGACAAAATGGATAAGGTGTGTTGGCAACGGGGCGCATGAAACTTGAACAACCACTTCAAGTGTGTGTGTGGATTAAATCTAGAATATCCATGCTTTACACATGGGCAATTATATATGTCACAAGCTCAGGAGTAGAACAATCAAAAAAATTAATCAATTTTTGCCAAACATGTTATGGCCAAAAATATTTTACACCCAAAGTACTTATAAACTTATTCAAATTTAATTTTGTGTACGAAAAATCATCGTCTTAAATTTATTTTGTACAGTATGTAAATTTTTTAAATATTAAAATAATTAAATAAATCTAACACTATTTTATATATTTTTTAAATCTTTTCCGTTTAATACTGAGCACGGGAAAAACAGTATCTATAATATATAATATATATACTGGAATCTATCAATAGCGAAGCATTGCTGGGTGGTCAACTATAGTCACCAATCTGAATATATATAAATATGAAAGTTTCATTACTTATTTTTCTTTGTCCCCTATAGACTTAATGAGGACTAAACCGTTTCAATACAAATTATATCAATGGATTTCTTGAGACTCGGGGATTGTTTGTAGTTTTGTTTTTCAACCCAAATGACCCGATATAGGTCGGTGTGTGACTGTTTGGTGCATTGGCGCAACTAGGAGGGCCTAGGGGGGTTTAGCCCCCTGACTAAGATTTAGCCCACCACAAATATCCCTTTTTGTTTAAGCCCCATATGGGTTATTTTAAATAAATAGTTTTGTTAGGCCCCCCAGAATGTTAACCCTGGTTGCGCCTATGGACTTAAATTGCCTACCTGATAATATACTGCTGCAAATCGGAATTTTTATTCCGTGCAACGGAAAA